AAAAAAATGGAGTGCTTTCTACCTTTAATAGGAATCGCTTTCCCCGCTATAGTGACCTCGTAAGTGTTCTTTAAGTCACCTAAAAAAAATTCAGACTAATTGGTTGACCATCGATTTTTCATTTTTTGAGAGCCATGCGAGAACGGAAGATACCAACCGATTTTAAAAAAAAATTTTTCCTCGTCTTCTCTCTACCGAACACAACTTTTTTTTACTATAGCGTTTCGCCCTGACAACTTTGTTGTTTTTCGGTCCCTACTTGTGAGCCTAAAAACGGTAGCTCTCATTGTATCAACCTTCCATTACGTAATAATGGGTACTACTACTAGATCTAGGGTGCTTGTTATCGTTATTGGTATAATAATCCTGAAATATTTTTTGAACTACTGCACTTCATTTTAGGTATAACCTTAGTAAATTATTAATTTAATTTAAGTAATGCATTCTACAGAAGAACTTAAAATTTACTAGAACACTTCAAAGGGCTTTACGAGCCCTAATAACTATATGCTGGAATAGATCGTTATTTTTCAGAAACGTGTTTGATTATTTAAATACGTACGATGGTTCTTCTTTAAATTTTGAAGCTGCATATAACATATTTGGTTTCATTTTAAATTAGATTTTCTCAAATTTAACTTCTTATTTTTTATTACCGTTAGATTAATTATTTAATATTGAAATATGCTAAGAAATAAATATATAATGTGGTTGCGTTCACTCATAAAGAGAGGTACTACATACATTAAAATGAAGAAAGTAATCTACTTTACACCTGTTTTGATTAACCTTGCAGCACTTAAATGTCATTTCAGATTTTTACAACAATCCAGAATGATTTATCATATTTTAAAAAACATTTCCTATTTATAATAACCGTTCGTACATGGACCATTATTTTACAATTTGTACTAAGACAATATCCAAAACCCTTTTATTTGAAAATTCACGTAGTGAAATTTGAGGTTTGTTCTAGTAGCAGTCTTGGACCGGTTTGAAACCCGTCAAAAATTCAACCAGTTAAATATTAATGTAAATACCGTGAGCTTAGCGTATAAGAGATAGCTGAGTGAAAATTTGAAACTGGTCCGAGACTGCTGCTAGAACAAACCTATTGAGACCAAGAATGGCCCACTGCGACAGATCAAATGTTGCTGATATACATACATACATGTGTTTGCAAAAAATCATGTTTGTTCCATCTAAACTACTCACAAGTGAATAGGAAAACTACTCTGATAGAAAAACTGTTAATGCAATTCTAAAGCATCTCAGAGTTTTTCGTTTTTATCTATGGTGAAACCACAGTCAATATTGAATTAACAATAAAATAGTCTTCATTTAAGATTTTAATAAAGCGAGCGTAATACTTTACATTGTGTCGAACTTGATATGAAAAGTAAAGCAACGGGTACTGAAGCTTGTAGTTGAATGGTTAAAACCAGTCTGATTAACCAGCAGTCTTGTTCATCTTCTAGTTGATATACCAACTTAAAATCCAGAAGCTATACGATGTTAGACAAGTAAAAGATCTCTACTCCTCAGTAAAGAAGAGGAGCAGCCAAATTTCCTAGTTGGGGAAGCTTGTCTCCTGGCGTCAAGGATTAGTCTTGGAAATAGACCAACGTTAAATAAATAACTTCATTCATGCCTCAAATAGAAACATATGTATAGATTTAGCCATTTTCCTATCAGAATAGTGAAGAATTGCCAAGGACGACAACGAAAACAGTTTAAATAACTGAGTGGTACTGGTTAATCACAATTTCTGTTGATTATATTTTGCACAGACATGGGTCTCTTAAATGGCAACGTTGCAACAACCAACCCGGCCGGCGCTGGTCAGCGAATTCATTTTCCGTCGAGCTGTCGTGCGGTGAATAACCCAGTAAAGACCAAATTACGGAACTTTACTGGGTTTTTATTGGCGCAGCATTTCCAGTAAAGGCCCAGTAAAAGCCTAGTAAAGGCCCATACTTTGGTGTTTACTGGGAGTGCATACTGCGCCCGATACGATGCCAAATTTCAGTCTTCCTTCAATGTATTACGTCTAATACTTTATACACGTAGTATATACGGTTTACTGTGGTTGAAACTCTGTTAAAGTTCAAGCGAATTCATGCGTTCCCCAGGGACCCGTTCTGAAACTACTATTATTCATATTTTATTAATGAAGTCGTTGAAATATTATCACATCAGTTAAATGTCTTTTTTACGCTAAAAATATAAACTTTATTTATTTTATTTAAAGAGTGGTGCAAAACAATAATTCACCATTGAATGAAACTAAGAAAATGAAATGTAATGTCTTATACAACAAAACACAATATGGTAGTAATGACTAGGTAATTACATCGCATCAATTTTGTTAAAAAATTATTCCTAACAATTTATTTATCAAAATAAAAAATGTTCTCCCGTACATATATAATATATACATTGACTAATCTACATGACTCAATTGACAGCATTCAAAAATTTATAATTAAAGTTATTTTATACAGGGTAGGTCAATAGTCCGTTCTACTTCGAAATGTCGAGTTCTCTGATAGCGAAAAACTTGATTTAAAAACATAAATAAACTAGAATGCGGAATTTTGCAGTTGTTCAATATATCGAAAATGGTTACAAATAGCCATAGGGATCTAGGTACAAAAAATGTTCGTTTTTCAATTATACATCACATCGTCCAAAAATATACGGGGTGTTTTGAAAAAATTGAGAAAATTCAGTTAGAAAAGTTGTAAATTTAAAAATCCTTTTTGGCCACCCTGTATACTTTTAGAAAGTGAAAATGGCTGAGTGTCATCACACAGACGTCTCATAACTGGTACTAACTTATTTTTTTCTTATAATCGATAACCGTGGCTGTAGTAATTTTTTTAATATGTGGGAGAAAGTCAATAATAATATAGGAGTGAAAGAAGGCCATAAAGAGGTTTCAAAAAATGTTCTGATATACATGGCATTTCATTTAAAAAAATGTTACTTGACCCTGTAAAATCGTCTTGGCTCACCCTGTATATTCGAAAACAATTTCCGGTTATAGACTTTTTTTGCCTAGTTTACTTATGTTCTTAAATCAAGTTTCTAGCTATCATAGAACTTGACATATCGAAGTCGGACGCACTATTGACCTACCCTGTATTAAATAACTTTAATTATAAATTTTTGAATGCTGTCAATTGAGTAATGTATGTATTATATATGTAAGGGTATATTTGATTACCTACATTCTATAATTAATTACAAAAATATTTCTATATATTTATGGATGTTAGTGGAAGTTACTAATTTCATGTGATAAGTGATATAATTATCCGAGACGTCCTTTTATTGCAGAAATCATAATTTTTAATTATAATATAATTTTACCACCTAACAAGCATTCGTTTCAGTTATTTAACAATTTAAAGATACGAATTTGCCTTATTAATTCTTTTGTCTCTTATTTAATGTGCATTTACATGATCTAGAAACAGAGGAAAATTACATAGGGTTGCTCTGATATGAGTAGATTGTTTCTGAGATAATTTTAATAAAATTCATGAGCTTTGTATAGTCATTAAATTATTGCATGTTGTGTTACCTTTTCTAATGACATTTAATTGTAGGAGCGGGACTTTTATTGAGGATATTACAAAGCAAATTTTAAGTGATATATCAAATGTGCTTCAAATATTATTGTGCAGTTTCTAAATTTTGATATTTAGTTAAAAGCAAAAATGTTCTTTTTTATTCAAAAATTGTAAATCATTTTTTTTCACGCATATTACTTAGTACTACTAGTTAATATATGGCAAATAACATTTTGTTTGACAGTTACCGTCGCACTTAATAGCAAGTCTTAGCAATCGTATGCGAATTAAATCTAAATTTTTTTCTCGAAATTTTCTCGAAAAAAATTTCTATTTTTAGCCAAATTCTGTAATATCTTGGTTAGTGACAACCTCTCTGATTAATAAACTTCTGGTTTAAATCCACAACTAATATTCGATTATATATAGGATGTCTAATTTACTACATCTGCGTAAATAGGAACGATATAAAAATTTAGAAAAGACAAAAAGTTGTATAATTTGAATATGCATCTCTCAAAAAATACATCACCGGCAAGGTATTCTAGAAAAATAAAAAAATTTTTTTTGCTTACTACTTATTAATTTAAAAGGAAGAAAGTCGACCATATAATCCAAAGAATTTACTGATGGCAGTATTGTTTAATTCTCGTTTTTTTTTCTTATATTTTATTTATTTATAAATGTACTAATGAGTTTTTCTCTCTAATTTCAAAAATATCAAACATGTCATATTTTTTATTTCTCAAATAAGTTAAATAAATAGCAATTTATTATAAAAATAAATGTTTTTTTGAACATCCTGAGAAAAATTTCACAAGGTTTATGTGCTATTAAAGTTCGTTGTCGTTAATTGCTTTAATTAGTTCTAAATACATTATTTTTGTTAACTAAAATACAGAATACGAAAATGTAAGCAAGTAATAATTACACTGTTGAAGAAAATAACAAATCCAGAACCAAACAATTTAACAAGTAGATATAATTTTAATAAACATTATTGCAACAACATAAAAACGCCAGAAGCATCGTAGGTAGGCACAAGAAATAAAAATAGGTAATTAAATACGGCTTTCAAATTGTCTCCCATTATTATTCAAACATTCTCTGGATCTGCGTATTGGGCTTGATGATCACTTAACATCTCTAGTGTTATTGACTCGCAAACATTTGCAATTTTTGTTTTTAAATCTTTGACACAACCCCAAATAAAAAATCTAGTTGTGTTAAATCTGGAGATCTTGGTAGACATTTAATAGCTCCATTGGTTCCAATCCAAGAATTAGTAAATAAACAATTTAAAAATTTGACCAATACTCTTCAATTGTCTGCTGGAGAATCTTGTTGGTATAATAAGCTGAATATCTAATGAAAGGCGGTGTAAAAAATTCCTTAAATCAGTTTTTCCCAAATTGATATACCGTCTCAGTAGTTCAGTTGGCTAGAGCGCGCTATGGCAAGTATTACTAGAAATCTAACTACCGTAGCTGCGGGTTCGAATCCCGCTAGGGGCACTGGCAATGTCGGTGGAAATAGTTGTATGTCCACGTTTTTTCTAAGTGTAACCCCTTTTCTAGATAGCATCTACTTTGGATTCAGGGGTTGTCTAAATTCTATGATGTTTAGTTCTTGATTTATATTCTGTTAAAAAAATAAGATCTAACAATTCTTGTGTTCAATACGTTAAGCCATATATTGACTAGAAAACACTATTGAAAATGTGTCTCGTGCAATGTGGATTCTTTATAGCCCAGCGCTTGTGAATATTCCTATTAAAGAAACCATTGTATGAGAATCTTGACTCATCAGTCCATAAAATTAAATGGCATATCCTTGGATATATTCAAAACTTTTGCAGAATACTCTTCGTTTCAGAAAATCTGTTTCCCCAGTAATCACTACTATCTTTGGTTTCCCATAAGTGTTGATTTTATGACACATGATTACATTTTCTTTTATTTAATATTCCACAGGCACTATTTTTTCTGATATTGCAATGTTACTCAATCCCCCTTAGATACTGGTTGCCTTTATCCATTGTTATTTTTTTACATATATTACTATTTCATCTAATTTTGTAAAGTTTGACGTCACTGAGGATACTTTTTTTACGGGTTCCTTGTTTACTCAACCTTTATTCTACGCAAACAGAGTTCGAATATTCTAAAATATCCCGAATGTAGTTGTCTTCTATCGGGATAAAGTCCTTTATGTCTGCGCTGTTATCTACAGAATTTCTGTCACATCTTGCGAAGACAACCAACATATCAAGTTTTTCATCTAATGAATAAGTTTCCATTTTTTTATTCTAAAATAACTTAATAAATAAACTTACTGACACCAACGAATGACAATAGTCAATAACAGTTTATACTTTCAGGGTCTACTGCCTATGACAGTGTGTGCCATGTTTTAATTTATGAAGAAACAAATGTAATGGAGCTGAATTTACATGGCCTCGAGCATGGCCTACTCGTGAAATTTGTTACATTTATCAGGATGTTCAAGAAAAACCTTTATTTTTACAATAAATTGCTGTTTAACTTATTTGAGGAATGAAAAATATGTTTGATATTATTGATTTCAAAGAGAAAAACTCTATGGTACTGTGCAAACAATTAAAATATAGGTCATAAAAAAATGATCCACATGTTCAGCACACAAACCGGATGTCCGACTTGAAAAGTAGGAACTTCAGTGAATTCTTCGGATAATATCATCGACCTCTTTTCTTCAAACTTTTCCAATAAAATCAATAGTAAACTCCTTATTCGGAATTAAAAAAAAAAAAACAAAATTTCGATTTATTTTTAGAATATCTCGGTAGCTGTGGAGAATTTTTTGAGTCTTAAAATTATCCAACTACTTTCCCTTTGCAAAATTTTTGCATGGCACCTATTTACGCAGATATAGCAAATTGTCCGAATTAAATAGATACCCTGTATATAGATGTGAAATCTTTTGTGATAACTATGTAAAAATGTACATAGTACACTCATTTTCGCAAATCTAAATCATTGCCTTCAACACTGACATGTAGACATGTAATAATTTTTTTTAATCAAAATTGTATAAATATACGGTTACAAGAATTTGTACAACCTCTTTAAAGTGATATTGAATTAAAATTTAATGTGTAATGCGTATGAGTTTTATTTGGTTGTGTTGTCTTGAAAAAACACGTTTTGAAAATTCTGTTTAATAACAAGCCAGAAATAAATGGGTTACAATATTAAAGTAAAAGTAGTAAAATCAGTTTACTCGCATATTTTATGTCTTGCAAAGCGTTCAATGGATTCACTGGAGAACTAGAGCAATTAAATGAGAGCAATCGTTATGAAAACTCTTGACATTGGCATCACTGCCGGTGACAGTTTCCTATTTAACAGTCGGCAAAAGCAGTTTGCAGCTGCGATTATCATTGCGATTAACTTGGAATTATGCACTCATTTTGATTGACAGTTTGTAGACGTTGTAATTGCGAAAATCGTCTTACAAACGTACGGGATTACTTATTTTATAAAGGAGTTACAAGTTTATTTCATTATCTCAAAAGTAACATGTAAGTATGATTTAATCTGTAAATTACAGAAGTAAAAAGTATGTCTAGTCAGCATAAAATATGAAAATAACTGTAGGATTTTCACCTTGATGCATGCATCTCAGACTTGAATACATTTACCTGTACCTAACTTGCAAGTAGTATAAATAAGCTACTTAAAGTGAATAAGGAATCTACATAAATTCTAGCTAGCATTTCTTGCCTGTAAAATCTGTTATTATTAACCCATTTTCCATTTTTGTGAATTGTTGTTATACAAAAGTCAAATCTATTGACATTTAGATGCTGTACAGTCATTGTACACGTTGCTGTAAACGAATTTTATTTCAATGCTAATGTTAAAGTTATACAGAGTCGTAAACAAAAATACTAAATTATCACAATATTTCACATGCTGTCAAACTATTCACAAAAAAAATTATAATCATTTATTCACACGACTTTATAATCTGGTCAATTTTATTGAAATATTGCGTTGGATCGGTGAATCAAAGCTATGTGATAAATCTTTTCTCTAAAATTTACGGTGTTTTCTTAAAATATTACAATTTTAATGTAACTTTAAATAACTCGCATAATAAGTTTAGCTGGTGCCATATATTCAAAACCGTTTCGATGAAATAGACCAGTTTGAAAAAATTGCCTTTTAACTTTTTTTTTGTGAAAAGTAGAGAACATATCAAACTTTTATAAACATAAAAAAACATAACATGAACACCACAGAAATTAGACAACCCACAAATCTAAAGCCAAAGCTGCACACATGTAAAAAAACGCGGACACACTGACATTGCCAATGTCGATGGCGGGAATCGAACCCACAGGACAATGAAGAGATTATCTAGTCACTTTTGCCATCGCGTGCTCTAGCCGACTACTCCACCGAGCTGGTATAAGAACTGTATAAAAACATGGTACTTTTGTTTATTATTATGACTGTAATTTTAATGTAAGCATTAAAATGTAACTTGTGTCGTGTATAGATACAAATGCAAAAAGTTAAAAACGGTTTCTGGTTGTTGAGCGACCCCACAACACAGAACACGTAATTCTTTTATCTACACTAAAAAGTCTAGTTTCCAGTACATTTGAGCTAACATATGTCAGCGGTTTAAAATAGGTGACTATAGAACCATCTAGTGGCAATTTATTACAACCAACTTGTAAATTCCGGACTAGGCGACATATGTGCGGAAATATTTTACTATTGATTCAACAATTATTGTTACAGCTAAATGCAGATATTTTAGATGTTATGTTATGAAGGGGAAATAACTGCGTAACAACCACTTTCGGACGGAATTTCAAGGATATTTGTAAAATTTCTTTTAATGTCAGTTTGCTTTTCTGCTAAAGAAATTTTTTTTTAAATTTTATGAAGTGTTTGATAGCTAGTAATTGTTTACAGTCAATGTTTCGAGATATTGGCGCAAGATAATTTGATTTGATAATACAATTGATCTTGTGGTTTTATCATTTGTAGTGTGTTTTGTTCAACAGTAATGTAATTTTCAATTCTTGAAGGTGAGATACATTAAAGTAAGCGCCAGATTAATTCAATAGATACATACGTATTGTATCAAAAGAAAACAAACTAGAAGAGGTAACATTAATAGTTGGATTAAATCATATCTTACCGAGACCATACAAATAGTGTGAATAGATGGAAAGCAATACGAACATTTACATGTAAAATGCGGTGTACCGCAGGATTCTATTCTTGGACCGATGTTATTACTTTTGCTTGTAAACGATCTTACAGTTATTATTAATTATTGCAATCTAGTTATGTTTGCTGATGATAACAGCTATTTATATTACGATATACAGAAATTCTACAAACATTTTTAACAGACGTTATGAATTAACTACAGCTTCCTGGTGGTATGTGACTCCAACAGGATGAAAATACGACCACAGTACTGAGGGAAATGTTCCAAAATCGTCTGATATCGCAAAACAGGGACGTGTATTATCCAGCGCACTTTCCAGATTTTATCGTACCAGATCAATTTTTAGGGGGGATATCTAAAGTCAAAGGTTATATTAACCGTTTGCATGATTTGAATGAATTAAAAACTGAAATCGACAGGCCATTGCCAATATTCCAGCCGAAATGTGCCGATGTGCAATACATAATTTATTTCGTCGCGTCGAGTCATGTGGAAATATGTATTCAAAGACATGATGATCATTTATTAAATTTTGTTGTTTGGATCTTTGCGTGTGTATCAAATTAGTTATGACCTGCGTCCACAGCAATGCATTTATAGGAAAAGCAAATGTAGAGATACGTATGTCTAGGCAGGTTAAAAGATCTGACCGATATGTTAATAATTGGTGGAACAAAGACATAATTATAAACTTATGTCTCAACTTCATTGACCAGCTTGATTCAGCGGCGTCGTAATATTTTTGACATTATGTTAATAGTAGCATGAATAACAAAACATGTAAATTACCTTTGAGCATTGACAAGTACTCTGTGGCGACCGGTGAAATTTAGTTTATGCTCTATCTCAGTGTTGAAATATATAAAAAATATTGTTCTTTAGTGCTATACACACTACTGCTTAAAAGTAATGTTGGCCTTCAATTTATTTACTTCATTCAGGTTGTAATTGTGACGTACGCGCAAAGATCTAAACAACAAAGTTAGATGTAATCTATAAAATAAATTAAAACAAGTTTCAAAATAAAATCCTGAATGCCTGTTCTTTGTATATTATATACGTTGAATAGTCCTTTGTTTGATTCAATTTTTATTGGTGTTTTGTAACGGTTCGTTTTAGGAGATAAATAATTTGGACCAGATTCATTATAAATAAAATAGAATGGTTCTAGTTATACATTGAATTCCAGATTCGATTAAAATAATTTCATTAAACATTATTGTATTACCCCTGTAGCGTGGCGCTACTGAGTAGCGAGTACGCGCACGGATCGGACGAT